TTAGTACGGTTTTTATTCTCACTGCAGTTGTGTATATGAAAGATATAAATCAAACTAACGTGTATGCCTGGCTCTGAATCTGCCATTTAATTTCACCTTGATTGTTACGAGATGTTTTTGTTAGCGTCCCTCTGTACAGAACACACAGGATGACCTGGTTGAAGGCCACTGAGCAGGACTGGAGTATTTAATGAAACTGAATGTGCTGATTGCTATGTTCATTGCCTTCATTGCTCTGAAATAGCCATTGGTAATCTCATTACTTCCTTAATGCTAAAAATGTGAAGTATGGTTCTTTGAAAGCAAGGACAGCAAATGTTTTTAGATTTTCATTTACATTCTTTTTCATGTTGTGCTGCCAAACACTGAATAACAATAACTCTGATAAATAACTTATCATAATGAAGCAATAAGATATGGATTTTCTGATTTAAAAGAAGGTACTCTCATCCATTTCTTTTTGTGATTATGACAAACTTTTATGAAGTATTGGAATGCATTAAAGCCAGAAAAAGAACCAAGTTTCATCAAGAATTCCTACCTAAGTTTCTATTTCAGACTAGCATTTTGAACCTTGACATTATTGTTTGTCTTGTAAGGCTTACCTTACGTATTGGCATCTGTGTGCCAAGTGGGGACTGCTTGGTCCAGCTGCTCCTTGGGTCCCACATCATGAATGAGCAGGTCTTTCTTTGGTGTATATGTATGGTGATGGAGAGAAACAGAACAGCCTGTGTGTGCTGCTGACAGGTGTTTGAAGTAACCAGGTAGCTCAACAATATGTGACTGTGGTATGGTACAGGGACAACTCACTAGAGAAAAGCCTAAGTTATAAATAAACAAGTAGCAGTGGAAGAACCATTGGGAAATTGGCTTGATTCTGGGTTACCTTTTGGCACAGTGTAAAGCTGACTGTTTGCAGAGAAATGCTAGTGCTGATGGGAGGAAAAATAGCATCTTCTCATATGGAGGAATGGGAAGCAAGGCCTTTCTTTTTCTTACATCCAGCACAAGAGGGAATGATGCAGCCTTTGATTATATATTCCAAGCATTACAATATCTAAAATGTTATTTTTAATTCGTGGTGCTCACCTCTGGTGACATATAGTTGAGACTATGATAAATATTAGCATCTGAAATAGATGGCTTCCAGTTATTCACTGGCTCAGAAATTAGGTCTTGTAAGGCTTTGCAAGTGCATTATTCTCAGTACTATTAGGAAAGGAGGGATGACCAGAAGAGCTTCTTTGTAAAGCCCAAACTTCTAACTGATAGCCAGCAAAATACTTTTTAAAAAAAACCAAAGAACTTAAAGATGTTAATGTGGCTTAACACTATAGTTATAATTGTAAGTTGATCTGTAGTTAGCTTTTTTTAAAGTACAAGTGTGAAGTCAAAAAGATTTTCAGTAAAGAGACAGAATGCTGTTTCTAAATTCTAAACCTTTTACTTGAGGGAACATGGTTTACAGACAGACAAATTAATAGCATGGAAGAAAATGTACATACATACCAGTATGCCATATTTAATGAAATCTTGGAAAAGAAGATAAAACAAATGGCTATGGAATATAGCTCCATGTGCAATTTTTGTATGGCATTCCTTATTGATCTAGCTGTTGCATTTTTGAGTCTTTCCAGTACATTGTGGTTCTGAAGAAGTTTCATGTATCACATTTCAAGTCTAATTATGGGGTTGTCTAATGGATTCAGGCACATCCACTGTAAAAGAGGCAGATGACATTCAGTAATTTTGACATTATAAAAATAAGGTGCAAAATGGTATTGCAGAGTACTTCAAATTGCATGAAAGATGGTCAAAAGCTGTCAAAAAAAATTGTTCCAGGAAGTCACTGAGATTGTAAAAATAGTCTTAACTTTTCTGGGGTATACTTTGAAGTTGCAAACGTTGGTCAGCCTAGACTAATAAGGGAGAACACAGATTTTGTTTGTTTTTTCAGTCTAGCTAGTAATGTTGATGCCTGGGGGAAAGATGGCGATCCTCATTTGTTAAGACCCATGGGCATTGTCTGTATACGATTCTTGTCACTGGCCTCTAATTTCTTTCAGTTCAGGCAAACCCCATCATAAACTTCAACCTTTGTGCATTTGGTCAGTCTTCAAATCCACTTTCATGCTGTCGCATAAGCCCAGAACTTTCTCTTGCCCATAGTGTCCATAGCTTCCCTGTTTCTTTAAAAGCCCTTCTTGTGGCCAGGTCTTCAAAGAACTGCATGGATATTAACAGCATTATGTTAGCTTTTAGCCTTCCTGCGTTCTCAGGGAAACATTTTCCTTTTTTTTTTTTTTTCCCTACTCAGATTTGTTTCTATTTTTGTTATATCTCAGGAAGGAAACATTGTGCCAATTGTAAGTCATCTTAACCAGTAAAACGTCACATTTTCACTAAGCGTGCCATGCTGCAAAACTGGGTCTATCTGTAGTATCAGCAAGTGTGGCCAATCTCTTGAGCCTGTGATGTTTAACAAGCCTATGCCATGACAAAGCTGTATGAGGAGTCTGATCACTATCAGAGCATGTGTGGACACACGACACATACATAAATCTACTAAATTCAAAACGGTAGTCTCTCTCTGAAGTTACGCTTGTTTTCCTCTGACCCAGTTTTTCATTAGGTTTTTTCTTGATTAGAACTGCCAATTATGAAAAAAAAATTAATTTTAGCAAGATAAATAGAAGCAGACATTGAACAAAGCTATTGAGCACAAAATGAAGACACGCAGGCCACATGGCTGCTCTTCAGCAGCATGAAGTGTATATGTCCATCTGTCCCACTGCCGCACACGTATAGCCTGCCATAGGAGCAGTCGACCCTGTTGAAAACACTGGGTTTAAAATCCTGTGATCAGATGCACATTGGCAAGCCACTGGTCTGGCTCTAAGCTCTTACTGGAGTTAGGGGGTTACCCTTAGAGATGCAAATCTCCATCAGCAGAGATCTCAGCTGCAGAGCGGGTCATAAGACACTTCTTGGTGTAAGGTGTAATGGCAAAAGGAATTTGAGCTTTTGGGGGGGGGGGAAGACTACTGTCCACAAGAATGAGTCAGAATATCACAGGGTAGCTTAAACCTGTTTTTAATGACTAATCCTTTGCTGAAACATCAAAGTCAAGGAGTCCTCAAATGATGCAGTTCAGAGAACCAAACCGAGGAACTAGAAAATGGCTTTGTTTCAGGTAACTTTGTTTTTAAATAAATGAAACATTTTATTAGTTTACCGTGTACACCATAACTAAATTACTTAATCTGAATTTCTATATCTCTTTGTGAAGAAGCAGCAAACATTTATTTACAGTCTTCTGCTTTGATGTGTTAATTCGTTTTCAGCAGTGCTTGTGTGCACAGCTGCACAATAGCTTAGTGAGGATTCAGGGTAAATTTAGAAACATTTCCCACAGGAACAATTTAAAATAAAACAAATAGATAAGCTGTACTTGTGTGCAGATATATAACTATAGATACATTGCAGGCCTATGTAGCTAATTAATAGTATAGCTACTATAGCTGTAGTTCCAGTCCCTCTGAACATTAGGAAACACATTTTTTACTGTGAGAGCGACTGAACATTGGCACAGGTTTCCCAGGAAGATTGTAGAGCCTTCATCCTTGGAGACATGCAAAACCCATCCAGACATAATCCTGGGCAACCAGCTCTAGGTGGCGCTGCTTAAGCAGGGAGGTTGGACCTGACAACCCATCCCTTCCCACGTCAACTATTGCAGTGGGTTATTTTCATCATCTGCTGTAGTAATATGACCCACATTACCATTGTGTAAATGTTTCACAAATTTTCATCTCGTCATCCTTTCAGCATCCTGTAAGTTAGAATAAAAGGTTGGGTTAATTCTTTTTTGTAAAATGCATCAGCATCTTCTAAGTGGAGAGAAGGGTTGAAAGAACTTTCAAGTGGGCCTGTTTAAGAGGTGGCATTTGAGTCTTGGTTTCCTTGGCTTCTTTCAAAATCCCAACTTCTGCATAGGCTGTGGGGCCAATGGTTATAAATCATACGCAACAGAGAAAGAGAAGTGAATTTTGATGTCCAGGCTCCAAGTGAATCTCTGAGCTTCTTCTAGAGCTTTTCTGTTGCAAAATTATGCATAAACTTGTAAAATCTCATCTTAAATGTGATTTTGAAGTAGCTCACCTAAGTAGTTACTATAGAGAACAAAAGACAGTAAGAGTAAGGACTCTGGAATGCCATGTTACAGCAGTGTGAACTGGCAGACTTAGGCTAGCTAGCTCTATGCCTATATTGCTCTTCCTTGGGCCTTCCTTTTTGTTATCTTTTCATCCAGCTGTGCTGTTTGCTTCCCAGTGTAATGCATGTTCTTCCAGGTGGGAGAATAAAGCACTGCCTCTTTCCGTACAGTTCAACTATCAAGTAGAACTGCTTTGGCCTAATCAAAGTGTACTCTAAAAATAGGAAATAAGCTTGGAAGGCAACAGTGAAGCTTAAAGCAAACAAAAGTGATCAACACACCTGATATGTTCTCTAATCCAGCCATGTAAATCCAGGGCCAGAGCTCAGAGCTTTTGATTTCAGACTTCCTTTGGTCTGCGTAGGAGATTACTCGAATACAGACAATAACAACTCAACACAGATCAGTGGTTTTGAAGAGAGGCAATTCTGTTACATACTCAAAGTTTTCCTCAAGTTTCCAAACTTCCAGTGAGAGTAACTCCTGAACGGTTCTAATGTCAAATTCCTATTTTGATGGCAAAAGCAAACAGCATTGACAGCTGTCTACTCGCCATTACTTTATTAAAGCCAAATTTGTGACCCATGTTAACTACAAATATAAATATTTTCACAGGAAATATGTACCTTTTAATTTAACTAGAAATCCTTCTGCCTTTTAGTACTCATCATCTTGCTTCTTCCATGTGGAACAGCTGTGACTCATATTACAGTTGAAAGCACATTTTTAAGCATTCTATCATGTAATATTCTTGTACCTCTACATTCTTCTTCCCCCTCAGAGACTATGAGGAAAATATTTCAAGAGAAGGGCATCTTGGCAGGAGAAGAAAGAGCTTTTAAACCACATCTGACCTTCATGAAGTTGTCAAAATCAACACAGCTGCGTAAGCAGGTGAGCTCACATTTCATATAGCTCAGCAGCAGTCCAGAAAGTTTCATTTGGAGACAAGCAAAGCAGTTGCTTATGCTATAGCATCGTATTTTCTACTTTGTAAGCGGCTGAAGAGGTAAGAGTTTAAAATACTGATTTTTTAATGAAAAAAAATAATTGGTACATTTACCATATAAATAGTGGTCCTCTACTGTACTTCTGAGTTACCACACTTGATATCCTCAGTGCAGTAATATCATGGTCTGTTTTCTTTTGTGAAAGTAGGCAAGACCAAAGGATGAAAGTGCTTGTTCAAAATTACAGATTTATTGGAGTGTAGCTTATATGCATGCAGTTTGCCTGGGTAGTTTTGTTTTGTTACTGTAGAGGAGAAAATAAGCAAATAAACAGTGGAATTTATATTTGAATTATGCACAATAGACTGTCAGTTCCCTCTATTGAATATGCTGTGGTGAATTTCAGAGTAGTGATAAGATACGTCATCTATATTCTTTCTTACAGTTATTTCTTGCCTATTTATTATCTTCTTTTGACAGAATCCACTAATACATTAAGGTAGGTCATAACTGTGATGGTAAATACATAGAAGCAATACTAGTGTATCTGGATTTTTATTTCACTAATAAAACGTATGTAACTACTAATACATACTAATGTAACAGTAATATTGTGTTACATAAGGTATATCTACGTAATTTTTTTTTCTGACATTGTATAGAATATTTTAACTGATCCATCAACATTCACCAGGAAAACGATTTTCAGAAACAAATGTATTTTTAAATAAGAATTAAAGTATACAATATAAATGTCTAAGTTGATTTTTTATCTTAATAGTAAGCATTAAAGAAAAATACTTTTAAGTTTCATTATAAATAACTCTAAAAAATGCTGAAGGTACACATTTTAATTAAGTATGTTGTGAAATCAGCTGGAAGAAGGCAGTGAGATTTGAGATGCATCAGGAAACCTCAAGGGAACACATACTTGCTATGAAACAGAAATAAGGGCTTGTCCACAGGTTGCAGGCAGTATATTATAGGTATTAAACCTGTGAGCTGACGTAAGCTTTTGCTTGTATTAACAGTTGTTTTTTAAAACACTTACTTTAAAAATCCACTACTCCTCTAGAACATCAGCTGCTCAATAATTTAACTCTTTGGTTAAAACATCTGAGACAGTCAGGGTGGGGGTTTTGCCATTCTGTTTTTTGGTTGTTTTTTGTCTGGTGGATTTATTTTGTTTACATTTATCTACCTAGCATGAACTATTAGCCAGGATGCATACTTTCTGTGTTCTGATATTCACTGCTGCTGACAGAATCAGGTCAGTGTCATTCCAGATGATCTTCCTTAGTCCTGGATAATGCATACGGTAATCCAAAGATACACTCTATAGAGAGATACTACCTATTACAAATCTGAAATTTTCTGTCAATCCACTGTCAGGCCTAAGCATCAGTCTTGACTATCATTCACTGTGCCCATGCATTTAGTGAGATAGTTCCATGCATTTACTGGAAACAATAAATAACCATGAAACATAAAAGGAATAACTGTTTTGTAGTACTTCTTAATATAATGTCTGCATTTTCATATCATACAATAGTATGAACAACAAGAAGGGGGGGGGGTGGATAAAGGCTACGTGAGAAAGCATAAAAATGAGCAAATAGAGCTAAAGTAGTTCAGTAGAGTTCCCAGCTACAGCTTTATAACTATTTTTTTTTTTTTCCAAATATGAGTTTCCTTATTTGAAGCAATACTCTGTTAAGCCAGAATCCTCATAATGCCACTAAATCCCACCAAAGTTATCTTTTGGGGAAATGAAAACCCTCTGTTTTTCAAACCTTAATATATCTACAGGCATTTTTGAAATGCACATATTCTGAAAACATTTTAACTATACCATATTGTTGCTAATAACTTAAAAAGCAAAGAGTTAGAGAATTCAAAATTAAGAAAGGTCTTAAGAAATCAGCTTTCTACTCTGAAGGCACAGCCTAAAAGTAGTAAAAGCAAAGAACTTGGAAACAGACATTAAGAAAGGATAAAAATGTGACATAAAATGAGTTAGAAAAGAGCTGTCTGTGTTACTGTACCCTCTCAGCTTCTCAAGTTAAAATTTACTTATTCAGAAGCAGGAGGAACTCATTCTTTATGCTCAGTTGGACAATTCTGAGATCCAATGTGTCACTGAAAGCTTCCCCAAAATAAGGAGGTAGAGTGTGCCTTCTAGATGGCCTTGTGGAAGGGGATAAAGGGATATAATATCTTTGCATGTTTAGGTACTTGCACAATTGTTTGAATAATAAGAATCTTGGGTTAGGATCATTATCTTCTACACAGAGAACTTAAAGAAACACCATGAAGCAGCAGTTGGAGTTGTACACTTGAAGGTAACAATTTCTGTTCCTGCTTCCTTCGCTAGCTTGCCGTGTAGCCACAGGTCAGTCACAGCCTCTCTGTTTTTTCTTTGTCCAGACTGCTGCTTATTGCAGGGCATGCTGTGAGGTATGCTTGATAAATGCTGTATGACACTTGGAGATCCTTTTATACCTAATGCTGCCAGAACTGCAAATACTGTGAAATGGATTTCGTAAGCAGAAGATGACTGACAGCTAAATTCCTCTGATGTCATCTGCTTAATTAGTAAGGAGTATATCCTTAGCCTAGACAGTGGTTGACAAGAAAAAATGATGAAATTATAATTTGAGCATTTAAGATATGGTATTCCTCTCTAAAGTATATCTTTAGAATGCTGTATGTATAACTAGTAAAACAAATATTAGTGAAAAGAATCTGTTTGCATTTACAACAGTTGCAGGTGTTGTACAAGGCCTGATTCACTGTTCAGCTTCACTTGTAACATCGTCGAGATGCCAGGTATTATTTTGCAGGCAGCATTATTATGATTGCACTGGAAAGAGCAGTAACTGCATGATTCAGTCATTTATTCCTGTGTTTCTTAATGTAAATTGTGTTAAACTTTTGTCACTATCCTCGTTTCATATAGACAAAGCATAAGGTAGTTATTTTGTAATAATAATGATCGTTCCTTCATCATAAAGGAGAAAATTCCACAATGAATCAAGCCCAAAGCAGTGTCTCCAAATTAAAATCTTTTTGATGTGCACTCACATTTATCTTTTTGCTATTTTCAGATAGACATACCAGATGAGATTACTGTTACTACCTTTTTATCATGTAAATTTTATGTCTGTTTATGTGACATTAATATTTTTTGCTTCTTGAAATTAAATGTAGCTGAAGAGAGACAGAATAGCTGCTGATGTCTTCTATGAGCTGTACTGTAAGCCGTTACAGGAAGTTTGAGCAGTCAGATAATAAGCTATCTAATATCCCTTCTAATTTAGATAAGGAACCTCAGGCACTTATCTTGTTGCAGGAAAGGTTGTTAGTTCTGTAGTACCTACACACCATGTCTCCTGCTTCAGTAATTTGTTAATGAATTTTCATTGCTTATGCATATACCAAGTACTGTGTTCAGTGAAGATCCTCTGCATGACAAGAGAAGTGAAAGGGAATCCTCCCCTTCTGGTGGTATTATTCCTTTAACTCAGTACTCGAAAATATAAAATGTGAATTTCTGTCTTACATCCCTAGCATAGTTTTGAGTTTCCTAGATTTGTAATTTTGCTTTTATTTATGCCCATACGGCCTATACATAGTTGTACTATATAGGGCCTTGTGAGAAGAGTGATTCTCACTAAAACCAAAGCACTTCTCCCATTTATCAGTCCCCACTGATTCTGACCTCCAGCTTTCTTTTTATAAAAGCTCCTGGGATCTCTGGCATTTTGGACAGAAATTTAGGTTTAAGAAAAGCCATAGAGCTCATCAAATCTCTCTGTATTTCCATTCATCAGCCTCTACATCAGTGGTTTGTATTGTGACAGCTGTTACTGAGGCACATAGTTCCTTGGAATCTTTGATGCTGATCCTACAGTGGCTGAAACAGTCGCTCTGGCACAATACAAAACAGCAAACGTTGCTTTCGTGGTCTTTTGGGGCCAACAGAAAGTTTGTGAGTTTTCTATGGTATTTTTTTGATCTGAACATTAACAACAGGAGCAGAAAATGCGCAACTGGGTGACCCAAAAGCTGGAATAGGTTGTTAAATTCTAATCCTTTGGTCTTCCTGCTTCCGAATCACACAGTTGCAGACTGCAGAGATATGTAACTGCGTACTTGTTTTAACTAAGAAGAAGAAGAAAGGACAAAACTATAGACAGTTTTCACAAGCTAAATGTAGTGTGAGGTGTTAGTCATGGTGATCATTCTTTAAATTACCAAACTCTCCTTGTGAACATGGCAGCTAGGGTGTAATCCCTGCTTTTACACATACCCGTTAGAGGACTGAGGCTGCAGAGGGCAGCACCTCTTTACACATGAACTCCTCCAAGTTCACGTGGGGATCGTCAAGGTCTAGGCAAAGAAACTTCTCCACAACAGACTTGCATTTTTCCATCCGATCTCCCTTTGAAGGATGATCAATACGCTGGATAGCTTTTCCATTGCGAATTAGTTCTGACACTTGCACTCCTCTTTCAACAATTTTGGCTGGCATTCCTGCTAATGCAGCAATGTTGGGAGCATGACTAACAGTGGACATGCCCTGTTTGATCTGATAGAAAAATATCAACTCCTCCCCATCTTGGTGGGTCTCCATGGTCAGGTACTCCAGAAGAGGTGTGTTAGGCAGGAGTTCCAGCTGCATTAAACTGTGAAAATTAGTGGAGATGAAGACTTGGGGACACTGTGTTCCCTGCCTGATCCAGTACCTCAGGACAGCAGCCAGAAGGGACAGGCCATCCAGTGTGTTGGTCCCTTTACCAAACTCATCAATAAGTACCAAGGACCTCTCTGTGGCATTGTTTACTGCCTTGGCAACCTGGTTAAGATCGATCATGAAAGTGGAGAGCCCTACAGAAACTGACTCCCTGCTGTGGATTCTTGTGTAAATCCCATCAATTACCCCAATCTCTGCCTCTGCTGCAGGGACATAACTGCCGATTAGAGCCATGAATACTATAAGACCTACTTGCTTTAAGTAGACGCTCTTTCCAGATGAGTTGGGCCCCGTGATGATCTTTATCCGTCTGGTAGCCTCTCCACTGTTCACAGGATTTGCCACAAAAGTCTTTGCACATAGTTCCATAAGCGGGTGTCTTCCGTCCTTGATGTGGAAGCCGTGGCGGTGAGTGAAGCGTGGCCGGCAGTAGGCGTTCTCTCGGGCCATCTCTGCCAGAGCTAGCAGCACATCTAGCTGTGCAGTGTACTCCACCACACTGTTAAGCACTTCAGACTTCTCCAAGATCTTTGCCTGCAGCTGATGCATAATAAGCGTCTCCTGGTCTCTGATCTCACAGTGCAAGTCCCCCAGCAGGCTGTCCAGTTCCTTAGTCCTAGCACTTCTGTAGTGCAGTTTATCCTCTGACAGGAACATGAAGTCCAAGCCTTCGATTTCAAAGTCATTCTTATCCACCATAGTTGGTAGCCGTGGAATGGAGAGAAGGAACCCAATCAGAGGAATGTAGATCACAGAACAGGAGGGAATATGATTGTCCAAGGCCTCCAGTTCTTTTCGTGCCACTCCTGTAAGGAAGTCTGACAGTCCCATCAGCTTTTGTTTCTTCTCATCAATGGTTGGGTCCACGTTGGGTCTAACAGTGAAGCGGTTCTCCGAGATACTGCCTTCAAAGTCAACCACTTTGCTGATTAGACCAGCAATATAATGCAGATCATCAGTGAAGACACGTGAAATACTCTGAAAGAGTTCAATAGCGTTGGGCAGAGAACGGCATGTGTCTCTAAGGCACACTGCACTGTACGCTGTCTTACAGAGCGCTTGCCAGTCACTAACTTTTGTGTTGGAAAGAGTCATTCTTTTTAGAATAAGAGGCACATTTTTAATATTCTTGAGGCTACTCTGGAGAGTGAGGACTGTTTCATGGTTCTGAGCCTGCAGGAAGAAGTGGATAACATCTAGCCGTTTGTTCAGTTCTGTCAAGTTCCGAGTAGGCCGTGTGAGCCACAGCCTCAGCAGTTTTTCTCCCCATTTGCACCTGCAACGGTTTAAAATTCCATATAAACTGAATCCTTCTTTTAACCCGCTGGACAGCTTGTACACAGAAGGATGGATTTCACTTTTAAATATCTGCAGGACACAGTACGTGTCTTGGTCCATATTCACAGTATCTGACAGCACAAACTTTTTAAAGGCCAGAATAGGAACTGCAATAGTGCTTTCTTCGAGCTCAACCCCAACCCTTCTCCTGTCTAGGAACTTAAGGAGGCCTCCTAGGGCTTGAATCATGAGTGGGCTCTCAAAAGGGATGATTGAGGACAAGTAGAGAATCTTCTCTGTTGTTGTCATATGAGATGGGATAAATGGAAATTGCCTAGATAGGAGTCGTTGCTTGCTGACTTCTAGGCCAAAATCTATATTAGGAAACAGGACAATTTCCGGTTTTCGTCTGTCTTTATCACCAGCAGTAGCTGTTAGGTTCATCAGGAATTTGGCAATATTCTGGTCCTGTTTTGCACTGGTCACTATGCACTGAGGATTAACTTCCCCAATCACTTTATGCAGTAGCTTGAGGTCTTCATTATCAGGTATGTCAGGCATGAAGTAGACTGAGCAATCTTCTGTATCATAATAAGTAATGGCAAGCTGCCCTGCGTACCACAAAACAGACATGTGTGTCTCAGAGTGCTCCTGGTCCTCTTGTTCAGGCCCAAGGGGGGGTGACAAGCCACAGCTTGTGGCTGATGTAGCACTCATTCTGTTGGAGAAGTGAATAAAAATACCTTACTCATCCAAAAAGCCCTGAGAAGTAACTGCACTTGACAACAGTGGGTTAACACTCATTCTTTCAACCCTGGAGAAATGGAGATGCTGCCAAGAATCAAAGGCAGATGTTACCTGTTCAAGTGAAAAGAGGCAGCCATTACCCACAGCTGCCATCTTGCTCGCCAGCAAGGTGTAACTGAGCTAACTACCAGCAATACTGGAATAGTTTTACAGTTCTAATTGGTATCCTTTATTTTAGTAAGTGTATATGTATGCCCAAATACCCATAAATACAGTAATGTACATGCGCATGTATACACATACAGAAAATCATCCTTCCCCAGACATATGGGACACTCACATGGACTGACCACAGATCCTCACAGCAGTGCAGCCACATCGGCTGGTCCTGTTTTCAGGGTCTTAGCTCGGTAGTTATGCAGCACCATCGCACAGTGCCGGGCTCTACACAAATACATAACGCGCTGCTGCAGGGGTCAGCCATGCCGAAGAGCTTCCCCCACAGAACCCACTGGTGCCGTCAGCAACCCACTTCCACCCATCCCCCACTTCTTCCCCCCTCTACTCACCCTCCTCACCGCAGA